GAGATATTTATGGTATATTTTAAATTATTTAAATAGTATCGTCATGTGATGTTCTTTTTAATTTTCCTTTATTATGTGGGGTTTTTTCTTTTATCTTATGCTTTGTTCAATCTTTTATTATTTTTTTCTATTTATGCTCTTTATTATTTATATATTTCTGAACTTTCAAAGTTTTTGTTATTCATTTTTTTCTATTTTTACAGATATTATGTTATTGATTTATCTATTTCTATATATTTCATAACTTTCACTGTTTTTTAACCGATATTATAATACTATACCAATCGCATGAACATATAATTTGTTCTATTAGGTCTGGAGTGTTGTTCTTCTGAACCGAGAACATTTTTCTTATGAAGAGGAACATTATTTTTTGAACCTAGAACATACTCTCTGCTCAATAAAAGAAAATGTTCTATCTTCGTGTGATAAGTGCTCAATAAGTGTTCGCATGAACCTAGAACATACTCTCCCTGGTCGGCGCATATGAGCCCCCCCCCCCGTGCAGCCGCGAGAGAGTACAAGAGCCCTTCATTTGGCTATTTGATTCTTCGGCTCTGGAGAGGTTTTGTGTAGATGAGACAGCAAAAGTTTATCTGTATCTTAGAAATATTTTACAGTGCTTACAAATAATGAGAGTTGTTCATTTGATAAGATCTAATGGTTTAAAATTTAGAGGAACCAATTAGGAGGAACTCAAAATGTAGATCCAATGTAAAAATAGTGTAGATGAGAGAGGCATCCCAACCACGGCGGGGCCACCGCCTCGGTCATCGACGATGACGAGAGTAGAAGAAACAACGGGCACCATCTGGGAAAGGAAACATGATGAACGAACGACCGGTGTGGCAGCAGCGCCTTGATCTGGGACACAGAGGGGCCGAGTGGGGGTTGTTCCCCATGCAGACGTGAAGGGCTCCTTGCAACATTGACGCCATCACCATGGGCAACCACGAGGACAGGGGTTGCAACATCAGTAGACACACCATGGAGGATGGAACATGACGAACAATGGGTGGGCCCACTAGAGGTAGGTGTGTGAGGAGGTTCCTGCAAAGGTGGACTGCGCAATCAGGGCCGCTGATGGCAGCTCCGATAGAGGCAGCAGCAGGGGAAACCCTAGGGTCGTCGCCCCCACGTCGCCCAACACAGCCCCATCCCTCCGACCAACAAACTAGCCTCACTAACCCATGAATTGTTAGATCCATGTGAGGAGAAGTCGATCGGATCTGAAGTTTGCTTGGTGGATTGGAGAGGGAAGAGGTTGGATTCGGGTGTTGGCGGATGGGTGTCAAGTTGCCATGGCTGGCTGTTGCCCTGGGACGCCTCTCCTCGTGCGTGGTTTGTGGAGTATGTTTTCTTCTTTTTATATAACTAGCAAACGTGCCCGTACGTTGCAACGGAACCTAATACATATTGGAATTGGACTCCATATCATCGCTAGACGTGAGTTGTTTTAAACAGCGGCGGATCCAGGAATAATTTTAGGGGGGCTGAACAACACATGTCTCCGATTGCTGCTCGATCTTAAGTTTCAGCCCCCCTACACTATAGAACTTTGCCTAAAAATTCATGGAGGCTCCACAGGGGTTCCACTGCTGCGGTCTGGGTAAGGCCCCCCCCCCTCCGCTGCCCCACCGTTGGATCCGCCCATGGTTTTAACTCATATGAGCATGACTCATGAGTCTGGGCCACTTATGAGATACGGAGGGCGTGACCCAATACGTCTTGGAATCAGACTCCATATCGATCATCGCTAGATGCGAATTGTTCTAACTCGTATGAGTACGGGTCATATGAGTTTAGGTCACATATGAGACACGGAGGGTATAAGTGTAGTTTGGGAAGTAAAAAAAGTGAAACCGAAGAAACTCTCCTCTGTGTGGTAGTTAGAGGGAGGTGGATAAAAAAATAGGATAAAATTTTGGCTCTTTAATTTTATGTTATTAGGTACGTCTCAAAGTCGAACTCCATAGCATGGCCTACACACGTGCTGCTAGAAAGGTGATCTCATATTAAATTTGGATCAGATCGTGCTAGTTTTGGATTGCAAATGTGATGTTGTGTTAGATTTAAAAAATGGTATCTTGTTGAATTGCAAATGTGATCACGTAGAAAACTCATCAGTGGAAAAAAAAATCAGAAAACAAAAAACAAATCAAAAATCATGAAAACTGTGCTATTGGAAAAATAATCCAAAAATAAAAAAGAATTGGAAACCACCGTGGAGTCACGGAAAACAGTTTCATTATTGGAAAAAATGGAGAGAAAAAATAATCAAAAACACCGTGAATTAGTGGGCTGCAGGAGGAAAACTATTCAGAAACGGAAAACTAATCAAAAACAGAAAACTAATTGGAAACTACTGCATCCGACTTCCATCTTCCATCCACACAAATAGTTAGGAAGAGGTGAAAAAAATAGAGAGAAATTTTGCCTCTTTAATATTTAATATTAGGTATAGATATAGAAATGCAAGTGCCAACGAAAGGAGAAAAAGGGAAAGGGGAAGAGGAGGAAGGGCAGGGAGGCTAGCTAATTTGTTAGATTTAGATGTTTGAATTTGATATTTTTGCCACTAGACATATCACTACTGCTCCCTCCGTCCCAAATTATAAGTTATTCTAACTTTTTTGGAGAGTCAAAGCATTTCAAATTTGACCAAATTTATATAATAAAATAATAATATCTATGATACCAAATAAGCTTAATTAGATTATTCATTAATTATATTTTTATAGTATACCTATTTAATGTCATAAATCTTTATAATTCTTTATTAATTCATGAACATGTTGGTATATGAAGTGGACATGTTAGATATGTTTTTTTCTCGATTACGCAAAAGGTTTGCGCGTTTTTATATTAAGGTAGAGAAATTGTTCGATACAACACGCATTAACGGCGTCCTAGGGGGTCAATAAAGTTTTACATTGACGCTCAGATCTTCCTAGTGTACTGTTAGATATGTTGGTAAGTGACTAAGTGATCTGAGCATGCATGTATGTCATGGTGGTCGTATATACTTTCATGAATTAATATATGCAAGTTGTGCCATATTACGAATTATGTAGGTCAAAATTTTGGCATACTTGCTATAAAAAATTTGCCAAATTTTATTAAGTTCCGGTCAGATTTAAAATGCATGTAACTGGGTTAAATTCTGTTGCCAAAACTGTCAAGGGAAAATCGCAAAGAACTAGAAAAGTTAGAATAAATCTACAAGAACAAAGTAGCAATTAATTTCATACACGAATCGACACCGGTGACGCGAGAGTCGTGCCTGCCATCCCAAATCTCAGAGCCGTGGCGCGTGACGCGCTCCCACGCGAACAAAGCACGTGTCAGCAGAGCCAACCAGCTAAAACTGAACTGAACAAACTAGCATGCATGCTAGCCCTTGTTTAGTTCTAAATTTTTTTTCCAAAAAGTGCTACAGTAGTCATCATATCGAATATTGCGATACGTGCATAAAGCATTAAATGTAGACGGAAAAAGAACTAATTGTACAGTTTAGTTGGGAATCGCGATACGAACGTTTTGAGCCTAATTAGTCTATGATTAAATACTAATTGCCAAATACAAACGAAAGTGCTACAGTAATTAAATTTCACCAAACTAAGTACAGCCGGGGTGCGTGACGCGCTCCCACACGAACAAAGCACGTGTCAGCAGAGCCAACCAGCTAAAACTGAACTGAACAAACTAGCATGCATGCCTAGAGTTTATTCATCACAAAGACCCGTTCGATTAGAGGAATTTGAAGAAATCTGGATGAATTTGAATGAATCTGAAGGAATTTATGAGAAAAAAATATTATTCCGAATAAAAAAAAGAAACGGATCAAAGCCGGGTTTAAGGGCATACGAACGTGGCCAAAATACAAACTGCAGGCAGTACGTAGTTGAGCTCAGCACGCCGCCTCCGACGTCGTAGAGCACCTCGATGGTCTGCTGCTGCACGTTGCCGATGATCCCAGGAGCGCCGTCGCCGCCGTTGGGCGCGAAGGCGAGGCAGTCGTCGAGCAGGATCCCCGAGTGGTCCAGCTCCACGGCGGCGTTCCGGTCGAACACCAGCGCGACCCTCGGCACCCTGACGACGAGGACGCCGGCGAAGTCGTAGCAGGTGTCCAGCCTCCCTTTCGTGGACGCCAGCCGATACGCGCCCATCCTGCTCCGGAACACGGCGCGCAGCGCCTGGTACGCCGTCGGCGGCAGGTGGGTGATGGCCCGGGAGTCCATCACGGAGCCGGCGGCGAAGACCGTCGCGGGCACGTTGAGCCGCTGCCCCTCGACGGTGATGCCGCGGAGGAGGACGCGGTACAACGTGGGCGCCTGGCTGAACCTGAGCATCGGCGTCGCCACGAACGTCCTCGTCCTGGAAGACGGCGGCATTCCGAGGATGAAGAACCCGGTGTCGGCGGGACGCAGTACGAGAAGGCGATGCCGTGGGTGGCCGCCGTCTGGGACACCAGCGACTCCGGGCCGCCGCCGAGCGACGTGGTCCCGGATGAGCTTTTGCTGCCCTGGCTCAGGCCCTGCTCGGCCTGGCTGCAGCCGAACTGGAAGCTGCGGACGGCGGTGGTGGGGGTGATGGTGAGCAGGTCGGAACTGTACGTGCCCAGCGTCGACGACCCGTCGGGGTAGGTGACGCGGTACTGGCACTGTCCGTTGATGCAGCCGTTGCCGTAGGGGCCGAGACGCGCGCATGCCGGCGAGCCGCACGGGAAGGCGGCGTAGGTGGGCGACCAGGTTGGGTCGAAGAATCTGATGCCGCCCGTCAGCGGCGGGTGGCATTGCACCCACGGCACGTCGCTGGCGGTGTCCACCATCATCGTCTGCATCGTCCCCGGCATGCTCTGCCGCCGCCGCCGGTGGCCATCGGATGAATCCTAGACTGCAGGAAAAGGGAGATGGATGGATCGATCGCTTACTTAATTAGACAGAAAAGAAAACTGAATAATCTTGGTGACAAAGGAAAAATAGTTTCGTTCGTAGTACCGTGGAAATGCTATTCGCTGAGCCGACGTTGACGTCGACTACGGGCCCGTGTTCCATAGCGGTTGTGGTGCTTTTCGCCGGGCGCTTCTTGACCTTCTCATCGTCGGCGGCATTGTCATCATCGTCACCAGCAGACAGCACCGTCATCTGGATGTTTTGGACCCGGAGGTCGTCCTGCCGTAGCAGCTCGCCCAAAGACGGCGGCTTCTGCTTGCGGCGGTGCGACGATGACGACGGCGGCGAGCAGGGGGCCATGAGAGAGAGACTAAGCCGTAGCCACGTGGCGTTCTGGTCACCATTTGGTACGGTGGAGACACTGCAACAACCCAACATCATTCAGTAGTATCGCTTCAGATCAATTCTTTTAAGCTATTTGTGCGTGTTTTCGGATCATACGAACCCGTGTGTCCGGAACAAGCAGCTTTCGGCTTCAGCGAGCGGATCGCCACACACGTGTACTCGTGTTGTTCCGTACTTCCGTGTCTGCTGCTGCACGGGGAGGGACACTAGTAGGAGAGAAGCTGAGGCTGAGCACAAGTAAGAGAAGCAAGACGACAGCATCCGCCATGGCTAAGCTTTTACGGGCACAGGGAGTACTATTAATGGTGATTATAGTCTACTAATTTGATGCACACATGCATGTTTCTGAATTTTATGTGAATTTTGGGATTTATTTTTTTCCCTAGCACTACTGGAAAACCGAGATTTGCCTAGTGTTTAATGGTTTGCCTAGTGCCCATCGTCAGACACTAGGCAAAGAGCTTGTTTACCGAGTGTTAGACCCCGGAGCACTCGGCAAAATAAAAGCACTAGGCAAAATAACGATTTGCCGAGTGTTGTCGACAGTAGGCAAAGAAATCCACTCGGTAAATGACCATTTTGCCTAGTGTCAATACTAGGCATACCATCACACTCGGCAAAGGCTGCTGGAGGGCAATCGCCGTTACCATTTTGCCGAGTGTCTTCCGTTAACACTCGATAAAATTAGAACTTGGCAAAATATTTTTTCTTTTTTTGATTTTAGCTTCCAATTTTTGTCTGTAGCTTTCCTACGGTACCTTGACCAACATGTTGAAAGTTGGCACAATTTTATGAAATTTTGCTATATTTCTTTAGTTTATTTAATTTCTTTGAATTTTTTCGACAAATGCAAATTTGAACTGCAAGTGTCACGAATAATGCCAATTCATGAATGCAAAAATGATATTCATGTTAGTAAGTGTTAGTTGAGGCCGTATCTAGAAACAGACCAAAAATTTCACACATCTTCACCTCGAGACATGACCACGAACTTGCGAGCAAATAGTTCTTAAATTCTATTAAATGAAAACAGAGTCTGAAATTCATGAAACTTGTCGACAAGTCAAGATATCGCATGCGGGTGCCATGATAAAAATTTAAAAAGATTTCGAGCACATCGTCACGTATGATGCTTAGAAACCCTAACATCTCCACATGATCATACGTGACGATGTGCTCGAAATCTTTTTAAATTTTTATCATGGCACCCGCATGCGATATCTTGACTTGTCGACAAGTTTCATGAATTTCTCTTTTCATTTAATAGAATTTAAAACTATTTGCTCGCAAGTTCGTGGTCATGTCTCGACGTGAAGATGTGTGAAATTTTTGGTCCTGCTTCGATACGGCCTCAACTAACACTTACTAACATGAATATCATTTTTGCATTCATGAATTGCTATTATTCGACATTACTTTGCGCTCAAATTTGCATTTGTCGAAAAAAATTCAAAGAAATTAAATAAACTAAAGAAATATAGCAAAATTTCATAAAATTGTGCCAACTTTCAACATGTAGTCTCATTTTATGTAGGAGGCTCGATAAAAAGTTTGAAGACCAAAATTGAAAAAAAATAAGTTTGCCTAGTGTGCCATCTAGACACTAGGCAAATCGGCTCTTTTGCCTAGTGTCTCATGGAAGACACTAGGCAAACTTATTTTTATAGTGTTTGCCTAGTGTTGGGTTATCGACACTTTCGGCAAAGTTAATTTTCTGTTTATATTGTTTGAGTGTTTTTTATTTAAAAAAAATTCATAGTTCAAAAACATTCATATTTGCCCAATGTCGGATCTAGGACATTAGGCAAATCAAGAGAAGACCGGTACTACTTGACACGAGTCGGTACTACTACGGTAGAAGACCGGTACTACCGCTAGGCCAAAAACCAGCACAACTGTGAAGACCTGTAGTACCGATGAACTTCCGGTACTACCGTTCAGGCCGGTACTACCGGTAGAGTACCGGTACTACCGGTAAGTCAAAAACTGGCTCAGTTGTGAAGACCTGTAGTACCGATGTACAGCCGGTACTACCGGTCAGGCCGGTACTACCGGTAGACGACTGGTACTACCGGTAGGTCAGTTTTGAGCAAAAACACTAGGTACGAACTACCGGATGTGAGCCGGTACTACGGTACTACTGGTCACACCGGTACTACCGGTCAAACAGCAGTAGTACCGCTAGGTCATTTTTCCACTGTTTTGTGAAGACTGGAAGTACCGGTACTTACAACCGGTACTACCGGAGACACTTCAAAGAAACCCAGCAGTGAGGTGTGCCAGGTATTTACTCTATTTTTATAAATAAATTTTGCAGTTGAATTTTTATTTTGCCTAGTGTTAGATCCTGGACACTAGGCAAAGTAGGATATTCAACACTTAACTTATCCGTTCACCCGAACCCGAACCCCAGGCCCAGAGCGTGTGAGCTCTTTCAGCGAAAAAAATTTCGCCCGCCCACCCGCCGCCGGAAGCCGCCCGCCCGCCGCCAACGTTCGCCCGCCGCCTACCCGGCAGCTGGGGCGCCCCATCCGCCCTCCATTCCGGCCGCCACGTCCGCCCTCCATTGCTGTCCGCCGCGCGCGGGGGGCCTCGCCCGGCCGGTCCGCCAGGGCGCTGCCGCGCGGCCGTCGGCGCCCCTAGCCCGGCCTGCTCGGCAGGAAGGCTTTGGCCGCCGGGCGGCCCGTGGCCAGGCCCCTGCTCAAGGCCCCTGCACCGTCCCGGGGCCCCACGCGCAGCCGGTCCGGTAGCAAGGTGCCGCAGCCCCCAGCCCGGCCCCGCTCACCAAGGAAAGGCACGGCCGCCGGGCGGCCCCTGGCCGGCCCCCAGCGCCGTCCCCTAGCTGGTCCTGTGCCGCCCCGTGGCTGGCCCTAGGGAGAAGGTGAGCAGCAGTAGAGAGGGAGGGGGAGGGAACAGAGAGAGAGGAGGAAGGTGGAGAGAAGAGGAAGCCCCATCGATCTGCTCCCGTCCGCCGGTGCCCCGCTTGACATTGCGTCCACCGATGTCTTGCTCTGGTGCCCCGCCCCATAAGCCAGCGCCATGTTCCGGTGCGCCTCCTGCCGGCCTGCAGCCCCGTCCGACACCGCGCCGTCTCTTTGATCGACGACTAGCACGCACGAGGTTCGTCGACCACTTTTGTATTCGATACATGGTGTACGAGAAGTAGTGGTACAAATATGCATAGGATGGATAAATGATGATGTTGGCGGTGATTGTGTTAGTACTAGTTGTTGTTGTGTTAGTAGATGTAATTGCTTCCCTTGATATATATGTGTTTAGCGGCCATCGTGCCATTGGTTCATTGCAGGTTTTGAGAATCTCACCGTACAGGGGAGGTGTTGCCGAAATTTTTAGCCGTCTTAATTCGTTTTGTTTTTATTTGCAGGAAAAAGAAGGTGAGAAAGGAGCAGAGGCGACCCTGATCGTCTTCCTCACCGGTGTCGGTCTGTCTGCACCGCGTCGCCTCGCCACTGCACCGACCCTCCACGGCCCCGCTAGCCTAACTCCACCGCCACCTTAGGTATAACCCCTCTTTCCGAATCATGGTTGTAGGTGGCGAAGCCCAGTTAGGCATCTCCTATTCAAAATACATACGGTTGGAGGTATGTAAATCTTTGCATATCGATAACCGTATGTGTTTCGAATTGTCCATGTTTTTTTGGACAGCCCGCGGCTGCGTAGATGGATTAGTTTTCATGGTCTGCTCCTATCCGAGATAGAGGTTCGGTATCACCTCCCTGTTGTTCTCCGGATACACTCTCCTTGTTAGGACATGTATTTGGAGAACAACAGGTAGGTGCTGCCGAAATTCATTCTTAGATAGGAGTAGATCATGAAAACTAATCCATCTACGCATCCGCGGATGGGATTAGGACCTATCCTCACCTATTAGATGGTAGGAACACCGTGTAGATGCAATTGATGCTTATATTACTCGCTGATACATATGTTAGAGGATGGATGACCGTGAGTGGATGTACACGGGCAACAGAAGCAAGGTTGATTTCACCAAAGAATGGATGTGCAAAAGCGGATGAGTTCTTGGAGTCACTTTTTTGCGAGGCGAGGCAGGTGGCGCACCCTATTAAAGCTTTGTGTCCCTACAAAGAAATGTGCAAACAGAAAAAGGCAAAACAAGGTGAATGTGGGTAAACATCTAGTGAATAATGGGTTCACACTGAACTATACCCGGTGGGTCCACCATGGTGAAGGCCATCGTATGAGAGAGGAGGTAGTGAGACCACGGTGGGAGGTTTCGATCTTTGATGCCGGGTAGCGGACATGTTAGATGACTTTCACAAAGCACGGTATGTTGAAGGACGTAGGTTGGAGGAGATGGATGCAACAACAAAGGCATTCTACGACATGATGGAGTCAGCATAGAAACCCCTGCACGATAGGACAACGGTTTCTCAACTAGATGCCATTGGACGTGTAATGGGGTTCAAGTCCCGGTTAGCTTTGGTCGAGAAGCCTCTACGATGGTATGTTGGCCCTCATTGGCGACACCTTCTTCGAGGGTCACATTCTACCAAAGAGCATGTACGAGTCTCAAAAAGTGCTTCGTGCACTTAAAATGCCGTATGACTAGATAGATGCTTGTCCGAAGGGGTGTGTCCTATTTAGGAAAGATCACAAGGATGCAAAATACTATCCAAAGTGTGAATCCTCCAGGTACCTTGAGGTTGACTCTAGTGATGGCCAGAAGAGGCAGCTTTCTATCCCGTTGAAAGTCCTTCGGTACCTTCCGTTCTTATCGAGGATGCAACGTCTATATATGACCGAGGAATCCATGAAATGTATGAGATGGCACAAAGAGGGCAAACGATACAATCCAGACAAGATGGTACATCCCTCCGATGGTAAAGCATGGACCCACTTTGATCGCATTCATAATGACAAAGCTGAAGAGGCTCGTAATGTACGTGTTGCGCTGGCAACAGATGGGTTCAATCCTTATGGTCTGATGTCTGCTCCGTACACTTGTTGGCCCATCTTCGTTATCCCCCTCAATCTCCCCCTCGGCGTCCTCCTTCAACGACAGAATATCTTTTTGTCATTGATAATTCCTGGACATCCGGGGAATAACATGGGTGTGTACATGGAGCCTCTTATTGATGAATTGATCCTTGCTTGGGAGGACGGGGTATGGACATACGATCGGGCTACAAAGAGAAACTTCAAAATGCGTGTTTGGTACCAGTACTCCATGCATGACTTCTTGGCATATGGGATATTCAATGGCGTGAGTGCGTTCATGG